TTATCAGCTACATAAGTTGATTAAAAATTAATATCAGATGTACCTGATTTTTTAAAACGCCGCTAACATCCATAAAATAAGATGTAGGCTATTATATTTTTGTCTATATTACTAATTTCTCATATATTTTATATTATTGTTACTAAATATTGCCTATATTAACTAATAATATAAAATATTGATGAGCTACGATTTAGGCGACCAGTATGCATTCGGCAACTCTCCCCTACTTCCATACATTCGCCATTATATTTAACAATAAATAAACAAATTTCGATGAAGATTTAAATGTTAAAAAATTTATAAAATTGTTCTAATTAATTATGAAAAAATTATTTCGTAGGATATCGAATGTCAAGTATTTAAAAATTAAAATAATATCTTCTATAACATTTCTTTTTAATCTCGAACAATTAATAAATTTTACATAGAGAGCAATGCCATGAACATAACATAAGAGTCATTGACATTAATATTGATTGCTAATAGTTCGTTCGTCTGTTCGTTCGTTCGTTTGCCGTTGACGGTCTCTCGATCGTTTTAGTCGTCATTCCTTTAATAACGTTATTACGGCCGGCCTTAGAAACGCGCTTCACTACGAGCATCCTTTTTAAATCGACTCGACAAATGCGTTTCGATAGGAATTGTCGAAGTTTCAGAAATACTCCAACGATTGCCTGCTGCCTCGGACTCTTAAGGCTTTTTAAATATGGTAGATACCAACACTGCGCACACTGTGAGCAGCTATGTGCAATTTTGCTTCCGCCTCCTTCCGCGTTGCGAGGCGTAATACTTGAAATGCATTTCGAGCTTCATTTTGAATTCAAGAGTCGTTTCAACCTTAATTCGCGAAAATCAACATCTCGCCAACGATTTTTGCACCGCGCAAATCCAGCATTGTAATTTCTGATTGAACTGACATTCTCGCACTAATAAGATCTGATTGCTATAAATTTGATTGGTCATGATCTAATAAATGCAATTTATTTTTATAATTTAATCGTAGTCTTTCTTAGTGTGAGTAAATATCTAAATAGAAATATAACGTTTTTTTCACTTTTGATTTTAAGTTATTTAAAATTGTGATCTATTTTGTCTGCACTATCTAGATCTGTTTCCAATCTTTGAACTATCCCGTAAATTATTCCATAAATTATTTTATAACTTATTATTTATTAATCAACTGTATTTCTATAGATATAAATTATAAAGCATATTTTCTTTCTACATCTTAAACAATTATCACTCTAAATAAGTAATGTGTCACACTCAATATAAGTTAAAAACGTATATTGTTTATCGCGACTATTATAAAGTGTGTTCCTGCAATAGATTCTATTTTAGTATTATCATGATGCGCATGCGTGTATATGTAGGTCGTCCACGTCTATATACGTTGTAACATTTTAATTCGGATTTTATTATTATAATTTTTTAACATATTTCTTATATGCAATTATTTTTACAATTTATATATATTTGTAATTATATTTTATAAAAAATAATATTCTATTAATGATAATATTTTATCACAGTTTAAAAATTTATAACTCATATTATCGAAAACTATCTTATCGTGATAAAATATGAGATTTCTGCCACAATTTTTTATTTTTATTTCAGAGTTTATATTTATACTATTTTATTTCTTCTTATACACTTTTATACATTTTTATATATTTTAATTTTGTTTAAATTTTATCCAATAAGTTGTGTTAATCTTAACTAAAATTACAAAAAAGGAGAGTTTAAATAAATTTAAAACTTGGAGAAAAACTAATATTTAATATATTATGTTATAATATATACATATAAAAATACTTCATATAAATCATGTACATTTAAGATAATCCTTATCTAAATTACATTTCTTATATTTTTCTTATTTTGTCGAAGATATTGCATTCCGTCTACGTTTTAAGACACGGTATATTTTATGAATCGATAAAATTGAGATTAGCATCAATTAAGGTCTATCAGGCGTCATTTGAATAAAAATAGCTGGCATCAAAGGCTTTTGAATTTGAGTAAGTTCAAGAGGCATCCGCCTGATAGTGGAAGCTTCGTGTACGACAGGCCCATTAAATTTTAAATGCCTGGGGATTAAATGCCAGAGCTCGCCCGCCACTTGATCCACTGGCAAGTATCGTGGCAGAAGCCTTGGCACACAAGGAAATCTTGTTGAAAAGAAATAGTTGAGTGTCCTCTTGAAAGACTGTAGCTTTCGAACGAAATAGCTACTATTGAATATATTTGCTACAATTGTTTGCAAACGCCATTGTGGTGTTTACACAAATAATAATCTGTATTTGAATTGAGCTATCAAAAATTTTTATATCAAATATATGTATATTGTATATAACAATTAATTATTATTATTTTCAATATTATTTTTAGATCAATAAGCGTTTAAAAGAATTAAGAAAGAGAACTTAAAATATCAAAGCGACGATATTTAAAGTAATATATTTTCCAAATGATGTCAAGAACAGCTACATGTAATTCCAAATTTTTCTATGCATCGTATAATAAAAATTGTTCGAAAAATTTTGAAAATACTTTTTTATACGTGTTGATGTGTCACAATCTTTTAACCAGGTCGTGAACTGGCATAGGCGACAAACTTGTCGGTTTTATTCATGAAGAATATTGCGTTACATATTCAGGAAGTTACTGACCAACTGTTTCAAGTTTCTACGGAATCACCGATCGCTTTTTGCTCCAAAAACATGGTGTACGGAGCGTAACACAGTTTACCACGGTTGGCGCAAATAAATTCTCCCCAAAAACGAAATCCAATACGAAGTCTGAAACCTGCGTTATCTGAATGGCATCGATCCCTATACACACCATGTATCTCTCGTTTCGATGGTGACTTTCGATGCTGCTACCACCGCCCTTGCTGGTCGCGTTCTCTGGCTGGCGTTATTATTCCGCAAGCCCGGTAATAACCAAATTAACGCTATACACGAATTTCCGATGCGGCGCACGTAGTAGTGTGCGGCTTACACCGACAAGGCGACCTGCAAGCGTAAGCACCCCAAAGTTCGGTATCGCGAGCTTGCCTCGAGCGATCCAATGCTGGGCTTTGGTCCTCGCTGTTGCTCTCTCTATCTTACCCTCTCTTTCCCAAAAACTCTCCTCTATGGCACATAGACGGTGTAAGCGAGTTTCGGTCAGCGTTCAAGGAACTCGAGGAGCGCTATCCACTACCCTACCAACATAACTATTCGTGTGTACTGTACACGTGGAACTCATGTGTGACCAACGGATAAGTTCTTAACGACCCTTCACCTCGGTGCCGCCGCCATCGCCGTCGCCGTCGCGCCAGTTGCATGTGCAGTGAACTGATCATGCTGTGCAACAGTTCGTGGGATCTTAGCGAATGTGTAGCGAATTCAGCATAAAGATAAAAATTGATAGAAGAGAAAACTAAGTATTAAGAAAAACTTTATTTCGTTTTTAATATTTTATGAAATTGTGATGTCGTTAAATATATTAATCTGCACAACATATTACATATAGATAGAACCCATATTGCCTTTTCCTTTATTACTTCAATGAATTCAATTTTCGATATTGTGAATACGCAGAACTTGTACCGACTACAGCGTATCGTTTGTTTGCATAAGTAAACGCAAGGTTTGTGTGCAGACGAATCTGAATTCAACGAAATTATACCAATTTCAATTAATGGCTCATTTAACTATTGCCATGTTAAATTATATTTTAAATTATAGATGCAATATGACGAACGCACTAAGCTTCGTTAATATTCTATTTCCTTTTTGAATTAATAGAGTAATTTATCATCAAATGGGATGGAAAAACTGCACTTTCACGCTGTAATGAATAATTAGTTAGCGTCTGGTTTTGATAGGTAGATAAAGTGATTTGAAGATTGAAGTCGAGATTGAATTAAGGATGAAGGCGTAAAAATTCATAACTGTCTTTTGTTAAGTAATTATTCGTAAAATCTTTTTTCTGGTTTGGTGTGTTTTAATCTTTTTATACATATTTAGTCTATTTGGATTTTATTTTAGAATTTTAACACTAGAACGCGCGAGACTAAATTCATTCAATCACGGTTTAAAGTAAATCTGGCTTTCTAAGAGGACGGTTGTCATTATGAAAGTAAAATTACTTGTTAACTATGATTATACCTATATGAAAAGTCACAAAAATCTAAAGTTCCATGTACAAAATTCAAATTAACTGAAGAAGAAAAACTATCAGATGGGTCAAAACGACACAGCCGTGATTCTAATGTTAAATGTTTTAATAATAATCAATTGTTAAATAAACAAAGTTTAATTTTTTAACAAATTGATAACGTACAACACATATTTGTTTGTATACAAATTTTTAAGGGAATATTTAAGGGAAAATTATAATATTAACAAAGATAATATTATGTTACAGTTATTGTACTACCATGTGGTATAAAACTATCAGTAAATATAATTTCCGCGATAACAGGCACCTACAACAAGAATTAATTGGAACAGCGAAAAAGAGGCAACAATAAAATTCTTGAAATTCGATAATTTGTCGATGTCAATTTTCTGTAAAAATGATTCTAACAGACAACGGTGTTATTTCGCGGCTTATTCAATATTCCAAACTTGTTTCCGACAGTTTTTCTAACAGAATGAACGGCTATTTCGTTACAGAACTCAACTCGACATCGCCATCGACGAGCGAACTCGGCGACCTCGTTGACGAGGCTGAGAGCGACGAGGCGAACGCGGACAACGCGGATGACGAGGATGCGGTCGAAGATATTCTTTATATACGCGGTGCAACCTTCACGATACATCTGGATGCCTCAGCCGAGAATTCCACCGTGAACATGACGAAGATAAACGAGGCGAACGCGGATCGGATCGAGCTGCACGCCACGTCTCAGGTAACATTATTCGCCATATTTTCTGGGTTAGCTTGTCGTATTGTTCCGTAAGTGTTTGCATGTTGTTCTGCGATCATTTGTTATGTAGGATTTCAGAGGTGTGTTATTCTGTGTGAAAAATCTAAGGTCTTTGATCTACAACAAATATACAAGACGATATCAGGGCAGCTATTTTATTACTCAAACTACATCCGCAATAAATTAATGCGATAATAACTTAAATTATAATGGTCCTATTTACTTTCGTGTACAATACAATAGTTTTTTTAATTGTCACATGTTGGTAAATACTCATTGTAAAGGAGAAGTATTATAGTAGTATAGATATAATGGCTGACTCTCTTAATATTTCCGTTATAATATCTTTGCCTAGATAGTGAATTCTAATAATTATAACTTATATACAATAATTATTTACTCAGTAACTGGTTACACAATGACGCTAATATGCCAATATACAATAGCAAGCATTTATTATAATAATTTTACTTTCAAGCATTTCAAAACATGTTTAAGGTACATTTTAGTATTTAATTACACATTATATTTCCTAGATTATTTTTCCCCCCATTATATTTTTAGGTAGGGGAGACCGGGGCTCGTTGGCATAAGAGGCAAGTTGGCATTGCGTTCCGTTTATGTATTTATGATAAAGGAAACAATGGGGAAAAGTTACTATCAAATATTTCTTTTACGATATAGGTACTTCTCCCTAAGTTTCATTTAAGGTATTTCTCTGGCTACAATCGCGCTAGAAAGTTAATCGCGTACAACCTACGAATATGCTTCTCCGCGCGTGCTCTCTGAAGAGAAAAACTTTTGAGACGAGCGTATATATACACACATAAATGTATCTGTGGGCACGAACACTAATCCGCACTAAAGACAGTTAAAACGTAGCAACATGTCTTTGTCTCGCCGGTCGGCGAGAAGGAGAATTCCATCAAATTAAAAATTTAAACTATTCTAATTCAGAAACGCGGAACCGCTAGGCCTCCCCATTTTTTTATTATATAAGGTTCCTATAATATTCCTACATCACATATTTATTTTTTTTTAATTTGTAGATTTTCGCCGTAAAATATTAAAACTTACTTCAAGATACTTGGCTTGGTATAGGAGTTTACATGTTAAAAGTTGAAACTTTGAAGATAAATATCTCCATTTCGACACCGCCAGGGTGTCTTTGAAATTTTAATCATATATAGATAAAATTATTTTAAACATAATATCCAAATTTCAAAAAAATCTATAGAAACTCAGTTTCTCGGAGAAATACCTTAAATTAAACAAGTACAATAGAAAAAGGAAAAAGTCTGATCAAGCCTGATCAAGAGCAGGCAAGTAAATTTTTTAGCAGCTTGAGAAAGCAAATCTATGCGATGTATTATTAATTGAAAGAAAAGTGTTTGTTAGTACACAATACGTATTTTGAGTAACAATGGTAATTTGTGTGATAAAATGATCAAAATCAGACGTGTGCAGGGATGAGGTACGTTGATTCACATCATAAGAAAAGGTTATGTTAATTCGCTGTACTGCACCGCGCACGTGTGAACATTCAATTACAATTTAATCTCTGACAAAACGCTTTATATTTAATATTTCTATATTGAAATAAGGTAGAATTAAAAAATAATTTACACTTGTTTTTCTGTAACAACATTTTGCTATTTGATAATTACAAAATAACTTTGAAAGATACAATTTTTACTAAGAAGAACATATGTACTATTTAATTTTTATTACTATTGCTTTTTTATTACGTTTTTGTTAATTTAATATAGATTTTATCGTAGAGACAATTTATATCGTGATATATACCAATTTACTCCATGCATATATCGAGGCAAGTTAACCACAACGCAGCATGTCCATATTTCATTTATCGCAAAGAAACTATATAGTGTATAGAATCAGTATTGTTATGAAAATGTAGAGAAAGGTTCTCTCTATCATATTGATATATTTTAATGATAATAATTAATTGTTTAAAAAATCTAGTGCCGAAATTGTGAAAACTATGCCAACGAGACCCGGTCTCCCCTACATATAATATATGAATATGTATACATGTGTGTATATGCGTGCACACACATACACACACACGCATGCACGCACGCACGCATATGTACCTATAGTATACCTTAAGATTTGACTAATTGACACATGAATACGAATTCAAACTTTGTTGTATTGATTTTGAGCAAATACTCGATACTGTATAAAGGAATAGTCAATATCGCAGAATTCACACTAAGATCTAATTGATCGATGTGTCTCCACGTGCCATCATCGTTCGCACTAAACTGGAGAAAATCGATCGAACATTGTCTTTGGGTTAAGCACTCCAGAATAGAACATTCCGTAAAGGGACATTATGTGCTAGGTATAGAAATAGCGATTACGAAATCGAGCACAAATGTTCTCAACTGAGGAATCTTCCTTTGAGCTAGAATTAATTCCCGATACATCCAAAGGATGTAAAGTTCTGTATGACAAGATTAAGGATTCAATCCGAACGATTGTTGATATCAAATGATATGACATAAGACTTTGTAACAAATCAGTTATTCAAAGCATAGTAAGTCAAATTATAAAAGTTACGATTACAAGACGTAAAAATTTCTCGTTATTAAATTAAGTATAAGATATACAATATAACATATGTTATTTAGATGGAAGTCAGACAAGCAAAGAATATTGAAAAATTTCTTTTGTTATAACGAACAAAATGAAATTAAAGATGAAATACAGATAAATATCAGTACAAGAAATAATATTATTATATAATTTTACTAAAATGTATATCAACTGATAGAAATGAACCAAAATTGTAAATGAATATTAACATTGTGATTGATTACATGGAACATTATTAAAATTTAATAAAAGGGAATTGACACAGACATTTTGATGATATCAAATTAACACTTTGTTTGATCAAACCAATGTAATGTGAATTCGATCCTTTCTCGGGTGATTTTCTTTTTCACAAATAAATAAATAAATTTATTTAATATTTGGTAAGTCTTGGCATTAAGCATGAGGTTCGTAGCTTCTAGGACAATCTTTATTCAAAAGTCTTCTCAAATAAAAAACATGAGACGTGCAACAGGTACTTCACATCCGCTCCACCTTTCTTAACATGCAGCAGGCTACCCTATTATTTCTGAAAATTTCTTGGCCTCGAATCGACAACAGCAAGCAGAGGGATCAATAAATGATGAGGCGGATGTCAGAAAGCGGGTCAACCCATAAATAATATTCTCTTCTCTTTGGTTGCTTACTAAAGTCATGTACTTTCTTCACGTTGTTATGCTCGAAATTATGCGAAAAACACGTTTTCACAAAACTTTCTTTAACTTTCTTATTGTTCAAGCATATCAATCTTGTTTAAAATTTTTTTATTTAAAATATGAGTTGATATGACATTTATGTTTCACAAATTAAATTGTTTTTTTTTTTAAGTTTGTATAGTATCCTAATTTAATAAAATTTTTTAACATCGTCTAGTCTCCAATTATTCTTTTTGCTTTAAAATATTTTTGTTTTTACTTTCTTTTAATTATTCATTGCATTAACATTCATAAATGCACGCGTGTGTTATATGTGTGTGAATATATGTATGTGTATCATATACGTAATGGGTAGATGTACTATATGAGTGCCGCAGTGTATTGAGTTCGGATTCACGGGTTTGCTAAGCCCAAATGACTGCGCGGATCAGTCATCCCTGCGGGAAAATTACGCTTGTATTAATGCAGATAGGTTAATTAATTATGATAAATGTGGTGCTTGACACAATGTTAAATGTGGTTTTATGAATATTTTCGAATGATTTAATTAAAAAATCTGATTCCACAATGACATGTATTAAAAGAGGAATTAGAAATAAATAGTTAAAATTCACATTAATAAATATAAAAAATTCACAGTGACGCAATTATTCTAAACGCACATAACATAAATAAACATATAGAAAATTCCTTTCTTTGACTTATAGTTTCTTTTCAATGTTAAAAACTCCACTTTTTATACGTGCAAACCAATGCGGAGCAATCCAATATGAAACTGGTGATGACATTTCTTGTTCTCGTGGATATTCAGGGCCCAAATCTGGAGCAAAAACTGCCATCCACGATGGAGAGCATCGTGAGCACTGAGCCAGCATGTTCCTTGGACTGCGGACCGGCTGGAAATTGTTATATCGAGCAATCTCGCGGAGATGAAGTCGATGTAGTGATCGAAGACGACGATGACGACGACGACGACGGAGCCGTGGATCTCGAGGGCAATACCGTAAACCTCAGAAGAAAGCAAGGAACATTCAGACAGAGATGCCAATGTCCTCTCGGAAGAGGTGGAGATCGTTGTCAGCTGGGTAAGTGATATTCTTTTCTTTATCTCTCTATTTGCTTTTTTATTTATTCCATAAATGATATATATAGAAAAATTTTTTCTCCTCGGTTAAACAATAATTTTGCCTTGGTAACGCTTTGTATAAAAAAGAAAAATGAGAAATGTATCGATATTGAGTTTGTCATAATTTTTTGCTTCGAAACTCATTCTCTCAAAGTGATATTATCACAAAGGAACAGAAAGAAATGCTATCAAATGTCGCGCATCGCGCTATATGAATCTTTTATCCATTGTTCTTTCAATCAACGTTAGATAGAAAGAAATGCATTCAAAGACGCAAAGTTAAGATCGATAAACAAATAAAATCGACGCGAGATGTAGATGTAATTCTCTAACTCTGTATTTCTCTACGCGAAAGTAAACTTAAGATCGAAAGGTCCTGCAACTGGCGAGGGTCGAAGAATTGAAAACTTGTTCATCATCGGTCGCCCCCGGTTTGTTCCGTACAAAACTTACGGCATCTAAGTCGAAAGAGTACTGTTTTCGCCTCGAGGTCCCGAGAGTTCCGTGCATTCGAGACGATCAGACCTGGTTGCTTTACGGAAACTCCCAGGAAACTCGGTATGGGGCGCTCTCGGTAATCTCAAACTTTTAACCCTTTGAGATGCCCGCTGTGCCGTACGTGCGCACTGCTGTCCGGCGAATAACGTTAAACGCTCTTGAGGATCTTTGGAGACCTGTCGTCACAGAAATGTAAATTGCCGATGGCAACTACATACGAGAAGTTCACCATCATGCCATCAGCCATCTTGAATCACGATATGGAAGATGATGAGGAGAATTATATGAATATTCCTGTCAATTTAAGTTCATATAAATGTTAATAATTAGTTCATTATCGTTAATATGGTATTAAATATGGTATTAAATTATGTAATTCTCCTCAAACTCTGCTATTATCAGTTTAATTGATGTAGCATATAAAAAGGAAAAATAATTAAATTAAAAACGTAAATAGCTGCTAGAATGATTTATAGCGAGATAACAGAATGGTTTATAAAAGAGATAATAGGCAAATCGATAACAATTTCTGATATATAAATCTATCTTGAGTTTTTGTGAACATAAGATACAAGACAATAAATTTAACAAAATAAGGCAAATGAAAGTACAGTGCAGTTAACAAAGCGCAAATATAATAGTAATACAAAAAATGTTTTCCTTTATTGGATTAAATATGATGTCATCAATGATTGAACGTTTTGAGTTTCTTTAGAGTCCTCCTCAGCAATTAAATATCTACAGGAAGTAAAAAATTCATTTTTAGTCTATCAGAATTGAGTCACAAAACAATTAAGTTGCCAAATCCAATCGTAATATATCAATCTAAAGTATATTGATACAACCAAATTTTGATAAGATGTATAAACTGTTTATGTTATTTTCTTTCCTTCTGTTATCATAATTCGGTATATTTCTGTTATAAATCTTTGAAACAATGCTTTGTAATGATAATCCTCCAATTAATTCTAGGAAAAGTGGGGGAATTGTGAACACAGGGTAAACGCAAACAGTATTATTACAGTATATTAAAGTGATAACCTCTTATTTCTCGTATCCAGATAGTCCGATATATGCTTACTGCCGTAATATAACTCGTGGGGGCCATAGAATACATACGCTATTTAAAATGAATACCATTATTTATTTTCGATGATTTTAATTATAGGTAAATAGGATTTTAAATTATAGGTAAAAATGAAGGAATTGTGAATATTTGAGGAAAAAATTAAATAAAGTCCACAATATTATTTATTAAGAAGTCTTTACTTAAAGAACATATTGATTTTAAACTACAATCATGAACATTTAAATATTGTTAATATAAATTATAATTTTAAACAAGAAACAAAACTAATTGTCCTGCGCAGCGGTGAATAATTCCAAACGGCAAGGGTTCTGTTTTTTATTTAAAATAATTGTTTGTATTGATAATATATAAATGTTAATTATTATAGTTTAAAGCCAAATAACTAGAGTATCTTTCGATAAAGACTTCTATTAATTAATTAATAATTGTCAGTTTTATTTACAATAATTTTTTTTCAGGTGTTCATAGTTCCCCCACTCTTCTCCACTTTTGATACTTACGATTTCCAAACAAATGAAATACAAATTTTGTTTATTTAAAAAAAGTCGAGATCTACTTCAGCATTATCAATACCAAACCAATAACCGAACTGGTTCATCAATATTGACATTTTGTGAATAACAAAGCTTGAATAAAACAATACATAGCGTCAAGATTCCGGATATCTGAATATCAGTTTAGAATTTTCATGTGTTTATAACTAGTACATACGATTAATAAAGATTACCTTTCTAGCCGAATAATAAATGAAACATATTTTCTTTATTTTATCAAACATGTATCAGTCTTCGTTTCTACTAACTATGATCGTTCGAAATGTACGGATTAAGCTACTCGATATTCGGTTTAATCTTGCAGAGTGGTTTATATTGCATCATGGGATTGCGTGGGATTAAGCGGCAGAAAAATTGCGAGAGGAGATCGATGGTTCGTAGTTTGAAGTATGTTTTACGCCTCAGTATTTGAGTGTTTTATCGTGCAGTTTCCGTATATGACGCAAATCGATAACAAGAATTACGATATGACAAACATTCATCTAGTTCTCTCATGACAAGCTGTACAGTGCAATCGCTTACTTGAATGATTGAACTGAAACAATATCTCATAGCAGCCTAATTTTTAATTAATCGCAACCACATTAAATTTGTTTTAGATTGATTTCTTCATCCAAGACCACGATAATTAAAAAGACGATGATGTAAAATATATATAGTTTTAAAAAAGCCGCTTTTTTCAAATTGCTGAAAAAAAACCGGAAAAATTTCGGTTTATTTTCGAAAAATTGGTTTTTTGGAAAAATTGCTGTTTTTGTTATGTAAAAGACATAATAAGTAACCTCTAAATTCCTTTATAAAATTAATGCGATCTATGAAATTATGTAGCATTACTTTTATTAAAATTTTTTAGTTATCCTTCTATTTTTATAGTAAAACCTAATATAATCTTTCTTTAGTACGTGGCAAAGTTTAAGTAGATTTTTAACTCTAGTTTGCCACACTCCGGTCTAATGAACTCCTGAAGTGTCTTTTTGTAGTTTATTTTTTTTCAAATATTTTGTTACGAATTCAGTTTAAATCCAAATTATTTTCTAGACCTACTATTATCATATAAATATGATGTTTGGATTCTATATTTTTAATTCGTACATTAATGATGCAATAGTATATGTTTTGTATGTTTTATTGAATACATTATGCGACCTTGAGCTTTTACACAATTTCAAAATTTCTGTTAACTTATCCCGCTGTGTACCCCATATTATTTTCAATTTATTATTTTCTTTACGAAAATAACCAAGAAGCAAATGTGATAGGTTTTACGAGCACGCGTGAATTTTTCCAAAATGAATTTTTCTACCCTTGGAAAAAAAACCGAAAAAATCCGCGGAAAAATTGGGTTTTTTTCCGATCCTTTAAAACTATAAAAATATATCAAATTTTTGTAGATTACAATGAAATATTTCGAAATGTTATGCATACAAAATACAGTTATTACGCAACACATAATTAAAGGAAGTAGGTCATAAAGCGAATGAATATATATATTTTTGCTTTTATTTATCGAAGTGAATATATCAATAATGCGTAAAGATATTATCATTGTTTGCTTATTTTTCAAGTTAATTTATTGCTATGTGATTGAAGAATTACAGGAAAATTCTGTGAAAATACATGAATGTGGTAAAGAGTACGATTTGTACATTGTAATTTTATATATGCTGTGTGGTTGCGTTATTGATGCTAGTTCCGAGAATGACGGTGCTTACAAGTACACAACAGAAAGCAAATGCTTTGTAGTAAAAGCAAAAGATTATTCATACGAAATGTCGGATATCCTTTTGCTTTATGCGTCCGCTTCATGCTTTCTATATCTTTGCTAAGAGCGTTTGTTTACCGCTTTTATTTACACGAGTCAATAACGCTTCTGTGTAATACAAGCAGAGTTAGAAATCCAACCGGTATAGTGGAAATGAAATAGTGTAACGAAAATTATAATAATGAAGTTAATTATTAATATATGTTAATCACATTAATGTCATATAATAATTAAAATATAATAAAATGTTAGAAAGCCATATACTAATATCTAATAGTATAGTTAATAACATCATGTTTGTATATATTTTTGAAAGTATTTTATTTATATGATGTGTATTGTAGTTTTAATATATTAATTTATAATAACTGATTTATCCAATATTTTAAATTATTTAAATTCTATTAGCTAAATAAGTAATATATATGTATAAATATTATTTCAATGAGAAAATAATTTAAAGAAGCTTTTATAAATATTTATATATAAAAATATAATTTATATTTTTATATAAATATTTATAAAATTATATTAAATAATTTATAGAGTTATTATACAAGGTGTTCCGCAATTTTTTACCAAGCGCTTTTGTGTAAATACAGTGGACTAAACTGAGTCGAAAAGTCCTCTATTATTTTGCAATTTTCGCAATGGTTAACGAGATATTAATTACTAAAAATTGCCGAATATTGATCTTCAATTTCTTTCTCAAATACTATTAACTTTACAGAAAAATTGCAAGAGACAAAAATTGTTTATTTTCTTCTCATAGAGCTCTAAGAATTTTTTCAGAATTTTTGATCAACTTTTTAGTACTGCATTTTCTTATTGGCAACTATTTTTATCAACGTGGGAAAATAGGGTATTAAAAAATTCTGAAAAAATTCTCAGAACTTTATGAGAAGAAAATAAGCAATTTTTGTCTCTTGCTGTTTTTCTGTAAAGTTGATATAGTATTTGAGTAAAAAATTATTGAAAACCAATATTCAGCTATTTTTAGTACACTCAAAAAAGTGATCTTGCAGTTACAGCGAAAATTATCTAAGTACGAAAAA